AACAGAAAAACTTTTCCGTTAAAAGCATTTGCGGAAAATCAGGCTAGTCTAGACGTAGCCTGTTGTAACTACAAAGTTTGAAGAACCCAATTTTCAGTGCACCTCACATATTTCCCATACATGCTTCTTGCAGTGGTTATGATGACTGCTGTAACCCAGGCTTTCATTAGATACCTTACATGACATTCTTCTGGTGAACCTGCCCTCTGCTAGCTGGCATCAAGCAGTTCTTGAGCCATAGGAACCCTGCTGGAGTCTAGGGGCCTGCATCAAAGGCAAGCTCGAAAAACGAGTCCACATAAAGTTATTCAGTTTTATCTCTGGTTTGCTGGAGCACCCAATGGGACTGCTGCAAGCCCTGCATGGAATGGGAGGCTATGTCTACACTGGTGGGTTCTTGTGCCAGAAATATGCAAATGAGGCTAAGCATGGAATATCACTGAGCCTCATTTGCATATCTAATGAGCCAACATTTTTGCGGAAGAGGTTCTTGCGCCAGAAGGAGCGTCTACACTGCCCCTTCTTGCGCAAGAAAAACCCTCTTGCGCAATGCCGTTCTTCCTGAAAATAATCAGCGTAGCAGCATTGCGCAAGAGGGTTTTTCTTGCACAAGAAGGAGCAGTGTAGATGCTCCTCTTGCACCAGAAGGAGCATCTACACTGCTCCTTCTTGTGCAAGAAAAACCCTCTTGCGCAATGCTGCTACGCTGATTATTTTCAGGAAGAGCGGCATTGCGCAAGAGGGTTTTTCTTGCGCAAGAAGGGGCAGTGTAGACGCTCCTTCTGGCGCAAGAACCTCTTCCGCAAAAATGTTGGCTCATTAGATATGCAAATGAGGCTCAGTGATATTCCACGCTTAGCCTCATTTGCATATTTCTGGTGCAAGAACCCACCAGTGTAGACAAAGCCACAGTGTCTCTAGAACAGCGGCATTGCGCAAGAGGGTTTTTCTTGCGCAAGAAGGGGCAGTGTAGACGCTCCTTCTGGCGCAAGAACCTCTTCCGCAAAAATGTTGGCTCATTAGATATGCAAATGAGGCTCAGTGATATTCCACGCTTAGCCTCATTTGCATATTTCTGGTGCAAGAACCCACCAGTGTAGACAAAGCCACAGTGTCTCTAGAACAAGATGTAATGGGGAAAGAACAGGTTAGGAACTATTTAGAAAAGCTAAACATACATAAATCCATGCTTCCGGACTTAATACATCCAAGGGTACTGAGGGAGCTGGCAAATGTCATTGAGGAGCCTTTGGCCATTATCTTTGAAAAGTTGTGGAGATCAGGAAAGATCCCAGATGATTGGAAAAAGTCAAATAAAGTGCCCATCTTTAAGAAAGGGAAGAAGGATGATCCAGGGAACTATAGGCCGGTCAGTCTTACCTCAGTCCCTGGAAAAATCATGGCGGGGATCCTCAAGGAATCCATTTTGAAGCACTTCGAAGAGGGGAAGGTGATCAGGAATAGTCAGCATGGATTCATGAAGGACAAGTCGTGCCTGATCACTCTGATTAGCTTCTATGATGAGGCAACTGGCTCTGTGGATATGGGGAAGTCAGTGGCTGTGATATACCTTGACTTTAGCAAGGCTTTTGATACGGTCTCCCACAATATTCTTGCCAGCAAGTTAAGGGAATGTGGATTAGATAAATGGACGGTAAAATGGATAGAAAGATGGCTGGGGCCTGCATCAAAGGCAAGCTCGAAAAACGAGTCCACATGAAGTTATTCGGTTTTATCTCTGGTTTGCTGGAGCACCCAATGGGACTGCTGCAAGCCCTGCATGGAATGGGAGGCTATGTCTACACTGGTGGGTTCTTGTGCCAGAAATATGCAAATGAGGCTAAGCATGGAATATCGCTGAGCCTCATTTGCATATCTAATGAGCCGCCATTTTTGCGGAAGAGGCTCTTGCGCCAGAAGGAGCATCTAGCATACAGAACTTTCCATGGCCCATAAAAAGACCAGACAGGATCCTGGGTACTGAAGAGGAAAAGGGAGTTCCTTAATCTGCACAGTGCCCTCACAGGAACAGGAAAGAATGGGGATGCAAAGTGTCATAACTTTGTACCCCTCATTCTCCAACCAGCAGGACTGGCCAGCCACATTGAGGGGTGAGCTACAGCCCACAGACGGGAATTAGTGGGTACACAGTCGAGCTCTTAAAACTATATGTCTGTACTGAAACCAGCTACCAATGTTGGGCCCAATGGGTAGTGATCAATGGTTCGATGTCAGGTTAGCAGTCAGTTTCTAGCGGAGTGCCCCAAGGATCAGTTATAGGACTGGTTTTGTTCAATATCTTTATTAATGACCTGGATGAGGGGATGGATTGCACCCTCAGCAAGTTTGCAGATGACTCTAAAGTAGGGGGAGAGGTAGATACACTGGAGGGCAGAGATAGGGTCCAGAGTGACTTAGACAAATTAGAGGACTGGGCCACAAGAAATCTGATGAAGTTCAACAAGGACAAGTGCAGAGTCCTGCACTTGGGACAGAAGAATCCCAAGCATTTTTTCAGGCTGGGGACCTAATGGTTAAGTAGTAGTTCTGCAGAAAAGAACCTGAGGATTAGAGTGGATGAGAAGCTGGATATGAGTCAACAGTGTGTCCTCTTAGCCAAGAAGGCTAATGTCATATTAGGTTGCATTAAGAGGAGCATTGCCAGCAGATTCAGAGATGTGATTATTCCTCTTTATTCGGCTCTGGTGAGGCCACATCTGGAGTATTGTGTCCAGTTCTGGGCCCCCGATTACAGGAAGGATGTGGATGCATTGGAGAGGGTCCAGTGAAGGGCAACCAAGATGATTAGGGGGCTGGAGCATATGACCTACGAGGAGAGACTGAGGGATTTGGGTTTGTTTAGTCTGCAGAAGAGAAGAGTGAGGGGGGATTTGATAGCAGCCTTCAACTTCCTGAAGGGAGGTTCCAAAGAGACTGGAGAAAGGCTGTTCTCAGTAGTGACAGATAGCAGAACAAGGAGCAATGGTCTCAAGTTGCGATGGGAGAGGTCCAGGTTGGATATTAGGAATAACTATTTTACTAGGAGGATGGTGAAGCACTGGGATGGATTACCTAGGGAAGTAGTGGAGTCTCCATTCCTAGTGGTGTTTAAGTCTCGGCTTGACAAAGCCCTGGCTGGGTTGATTTAATTGGGATTGGTCGTGCCTTGGACAAGGGGCTGGACTTGATGACCTTCTAAGGTGTCTTCCAGCTCTATGGCTCCATGATAAGACAGTGACCTGTTCCCAACACCATACCTGTGGGCGCCTATGGGATGTCATGCAACACTTCCACACCGCAGATAGCCCTGAATATTTATTTGTGCCCACAGGACTAATAATTAAAGTGTCGTAACCCTGTACTAGGGCAGGGCAGCTCAAAGCAGGACCAACCCCAACTAATGCATGCTCAAGCATCGTATAGCTCAGCTAACTGAGAGATTACACCACCTCCCTGCTGGGCAAGTGTCATAATCAGGAGTACTGACCAGCACCCTGTGACTAAGGGGTTAACTTACGCCTCCAAGCCAAGGTATTGAGTGGTCAGCCAATAACTATGCAGGTAGGAATTTCAAATGGGAAAAGAGGGGTTTCTCTCTCTCTTCGTTGTTTGAGACGGAGAGCAGTTTCTCCCTGCTATTGAGGGAGATGGGAGATGCTTCTATTTCCAAGAACAGACTTCTTAAAAGGTGCAAGTAGGGAAAAGTTTAGATAGTCAGGGTTTATTGTTTTCCTTGTTTGGGGATTTGGAAATAATGTCTGAGCGAGCTAAGTGTTTTTTTTTTCTTGCTAAGCTGTACAACACAGAGTTTTCTCCCAGAGTATCTATACTAAATGGTGTCTCTTTCCATCTAGCCAATTTACTATGCTTGCAACTGTAGTTTTATTTTGATAATAAAAGATTGTTTCTTTATTTTAATTAAACAGTATTGGTTGATTTGAGAGTCCTGGAAGGTCTGTCTGTATCTGCATGCCTGACCGAGGGGTCAGCTACCAGAGAGTGCAGCTTATTTTTCTCTTTTCGAGCTCTTTTTGGGAAAGAAAGCTTGAGGTACTCCTGGGGTTGGTTTCAAGTGTCCACCCCTGTTTGTTTTATTTTGGGGTTCAAAAGCACTTGGTGGCAGCAGATTCCCCAAAATCTGGGCATAGGGTTGGTGGAAGAGGGATTTTTTTGCACCTATAGAGGCAAGATTTTTGGAGTGCTCTTGTGGGCCCCCAACTTCTGCATTCATCGTGCCAGGATATTAGTAATAACTATTTTACTAGGAGGATGGTGAAGCAAGATTTTGGAGTGCTCTTGTGGGCCCCCAACTTCTGCATTCATCGTGCCAGAGTGGGAAACAGCCTTGACAGCAAGTTACGAATAAAACCCAGGTCTCAGTTACAGAGGACCCCAGTCTCAGCCATGCTGCTGTCTCAAATGGATGCATGAGGTTAATGTGCTCTGTATAGAATCATAGAGCTGGAAGAGACCTTAGAAGGTCATCAGGTCCAGCCCCCTGCCCTAGGCAGGATCAATCCCAACTAAATCAACCCAGCCAGGGCTTTGTCAAGCCAAGACTTAAAAATCTCTAGGGATGGAGACTCCACTACTTCCCTAGGGAACCCATCCCAGTGCTTCACCACCCTCCTAGGGAAATAGTTTTTCCTCATATCCAACCTGGACCTCTCCCACCACAACTTGAGACCATTGCTCCTTGTTCTGCCATCTGTCACTACTGAGAACAGCCTCTCTCCATCCTCTTTGGAACCTCCCTTCAGGAAGTCAAAGGGGATATCAAATCCCCCCTCATTCTTCTCTATCCACTGTGCTACTCAAGAAACCCAGATTCTCTGCATTATATCTGCCAAGCAGCTACGAGGCCCACTGGCAGAAATATTAGGTCAAGAGGCAGAGGACTGTGGCCAAATCAAGTGTCTACCAATGAGACAAATTTGGCTCTACATGATCAAATTGCTCTTTTTCCAGTTTAGAGCAGGTTGCAGCTGCATTTCTATTAAAAACCCCCATAAATGGTGTCACCTTTCACCAAGGCACCCCCAGATGCTGGAAGATCAGCAGGTTGGGTGCAGCACCTTCAAGCATTGAACTCAGTCTTCTCATGCCGTAGAAGCAATATTTGGGGAAGTTGGCTACTAAATTGGGCTTAGCAGCACCGGCCATCTCTCCTGTAGCTGTGTGGGACACAGAGCCAGGCCATATCAGAGCCTTCGCTGGGAAACAAGGCCTGCTGTTTGTCTAGGTACATTCAGCTACATTGGGGAGGAAGAGGAACAAGGTGAACACAGAAAGAAGGGAGATGTGAGGGATGTCAGGCCCCCCTCCCACCCGGGACGCTCCAAGGCCCAAGAGGGAGGACTCCAAGGCTAGGTCTACACTGGGGGGGTACTTGCACAAGAATGACTGTTCTTCCGCAGAGCATCCACACTGCCCGCCTGCTCTTGCTCAAGAAGATTTAGAGTATGGCTTCGGAAGACAGGGCTTCTTGCATAAGAACTATGCTCTTTAACAAGTGTAAGCTCTCTTGTGCAAGAAGGTAGTGTAGCTGCATGGCAGAGGTTTCTCGCACAAGAAAGCCCTATAGCTAAAATGGCCATCAGAGCTTTCTTGCACGAGAGCATCCACACTGCCATGGATGCTCTTGTGCAAAAGCACATGACCATGTGGATGCGTTCTTGCACAAGAACCTGCCAGTGTAGACATTGCCCAAGGAAGAAGAAATGTGCACCTACAGCACAGGGGCTGGCTCAGCTGGAGGGACAAGAACAGCAGGATCAAGGAAATATGTAGTGGAGCCAATGGTGCGGTGGTTCAGACACCAGCTTGGCCTTCAAGACACCCAAGTTAGAATTCCATACTGTGCCAAGGCCTTTCTGGGCAACCCCTGCCCTTCCCCATGTGCTGAGAGAGCCATTTGATGGCATGTGTGAGGTGCTCCAAGAGGAGCTAACTCCCCCCAAATCAGCACCTTTATAGCTGACTGAGGTATGCAGCCAGCCTGCAGGGGTCACTGCTCAGAGTGGTGCATTTACTTGAGGAAAGGGGGCTGCTACAGAGAGCTAGAAGTGCACAGCAGCCTGTTCCCTGTACCCCCTTCCTCCCCCCCGCCCCCTGCAGACAGGGCTTCTTGTTTGTCCAGCCTGGGCTCTGTTTGAACAAGCGAGCTCTTGGTCTCCACTGTGAGGGCACAGAGCCCTTCAGACGTGGGTTAGAGGAGGCTGCCCTGGTTGCGTGGTCAGCTTAGAGCAGGCCTCACAGATCTGCAAGTCATGGCCCAGACGTAGCACAAACAGGATCTTTGAGCCCATTTCTGCCTGGGGCCTGTAGCCCTTTGGCCTACACGGCTAGAGTCGCAGAACGCCCAGGGGAGGGGATTTTAGTCCATGAGGAGGAAAGACCTGGTTAGCCTGCTTGCATTAGACAAGGATCAGGGGGAAGTTACCCTAGATCACCTAAGGCTAGAGTCAGCCAGCACTCCCTCTTGGAGTCTGGTTCACATTGAGGGCGCTGTGGCTGGAGGCTGATTTGTGTTCTCCCTACTGCGGAAGCCCTGTAGTGTCTTGCTGCTAGCTGGACATGCACAGATGGAGAGAGGTGAAACTCCACCACCATTTGTCAAGGATAGGCATCAAAGATAACTAGAGGTCCTACCACAACATCTGCCTCAGCTTCCCTCACCAAGGGGTCACCTGTATCAGGGAAGAGAAATTATGGTGTCTTTCATTAGCCATATTTCAGACAACCCCTGGACCTTCAGCTTGGCTAGCAGAGCTGGCTCTGAGCAGAGCTGTGTGGTGATTAGGTCTCTACCAATTAACACCAATTCTAGACCCTACCATGCCTGGAAGCGACATGTCTCTGGAAGCGCCTCCTTGGCCGTCTGTCCACAGGGCCGACTCTCCCAGACTGTCCTCCAATCAATGCACAGTTCCCGGTCTCGCAGCACCTGCAGATGTTTCTGGTGCCCTCCATTGGAGACCAGCTGACACAGAACAGGAATAGGGGAGAAGTCTGAGCCAGGCTGCTGTTCCTATCCCTCCCCAAGGGTGTTCTAGGCTACTCACAAGTTGCCTGCTTTGTTGTAGGAACAAGCCTTGCTCAAGGGGTCTGGGGCTTGCTCGGCTGCAGTGACTTTCAGGTGGCAGGTGAGATAGATCTGGAGGGAAGTGGATGAGTTAGGACCATTGCAGGGGACACCAGCACTCGCTTAGTGTGAGGAAACGCACTTGAAGCGGAAGCCAGGAACTTGGTGAGCTCCCAGACATCTCCTGCAAACCTGAACACATCCACCACGAACTTCAGTGTGTCCTGCCTGGGCCGGGGAGATACGAAGGCAGAGGAAGCATCATCTGATCTCCCGTCCACCAGGCACCTGGACACAAGAGTCTGGTTAGGAAGAGCCCCATCCACGCTAGGTAGATCTGAGACTCGGGAGGGCTCCCAGCTCTTACCCATGGAAGTCAATAACAGCGTAGCGGGGAGAGGAGTGCCTGTCCGGGCTCAGGGTGGCCACACAGCTGTCCACAAAGATCCTCAGAGCCACGTGGCTCCCAGCCGTGAGCAGAGCAGGCAGGGAGGGCTGGGCTCCCGGAAGGGGCCTCCCACCTACCATTCATCAGGCGCAGGGAGAAACCCAGCCTCTCCTCTGCAGACAGGGTGGAGCTGAAGGGAACCCACGTCGGTTAATAATGCACCCTTGGCAGGCAGAGACCCAGTGACACATTTCCTATTAATGGAAAGCCCTTCAACTCATGGAGCAACCATGATTGGGAGGTCTCAGAGCTCACGCCCAAGGAGGACGTCCTGTAGGCCCCAGTGCTGCAGCTGTGCTCACCATCTCTACTGCTTTAGCTCCCTCCTTCCATCACGTAGGACAAGCCAGTTTCCTGCCAACAGGGCTGACACGTTCTGGGAGACAAGTGACATCTCACTCCCTTTGGCCACTCCAGTTCTGCTGGGAGTCACCGGTCTCCTGGCAGGAACAAGCAACACAACTGCTGTTGCTTCCTGGAACAGGAAATCTCCCCTTCCTTGCAAGAGGACAATCCCAGGGGCATGGCTCAGCTCCCGGGTCTCAAGGGAGAGGCCATCACTCAAAGGGGAACTGATAGCAGTGGTCTCTTTAGCCCTGCAAGCAGGGGAAACTGGAAACTCAGCCTATGGCTCTAGGTAGTCAGGTGTCTGGATGCTAAGAGAAGAGATGGGCCTAGAGCCACACATCACAGCACCATGCATCACAGAAAGTTGCTAAGGCCTGCATGATGGGAGGGCTCAAGATACCCATCTGAAGCTACCTTACCTGCAAGGCGCTGCCACACTCATGGAGCCCAGCTACAAAGGTCACCGTGTTCTCCGCAGCATCGAGGGACATGAACCGGCAGGTGGCTGGGCCAAGGCTCAGGTCAGCAGCTCTGATCAGGCGCCCGGTCCCAAAGAGATCCCTGTGCACCGTGATCACCATCTGAGCCTCCTCACACTGCACCATGACAGAATGCAGCAGGGACACAGCCCTGGCCCAGGCCAGAGAGGGCACATGGGGCTGTCTGCAAGGGAGCTCCGCCCTGGGGGTGGGTCTCCAAATGGCTGAGTCTCTCCTAGAGAAATCCCAGGGATTGTAACAGACCACCCCACTGACAGCCCAGCACAGGCGAGCAAAGCCCAGGCTGAGAGCAAAGCCCAGGCCACCACCGTACCCCATCCTGCCTGCTGCAAACCCAGCACAGAGAGCCACTGCTGCTCTGGGCCCTTTATACCCTGCACCTAAACCAGCTCCCAGCTGCCCCAGGGAATCAATTCCCCAATCTCTCACACAGCCCAGACCCAGGGCAGGGAAATAATGAATGGGAATAAATGCCACCTGGCAGTTCTCAGCAGGTGTGTTTGGAGAAACTGCTACACAGGTGCAGCGGATTGATTCGTGGCTAACAGACTGTGATGCTGATAGGGACGCTGATGAGTTATGCAGCATGTGGTACTGAGGATGGAGTCAGGAGGGCATTTTTGTATGTTACAAATCTTGTGCTGGGAATGGGAAGCATTAAGTGCTGCTCATTTGCTGATGAAACAGTTGAAATCAGAGTCTTAAAGACTCATTGCTGTGTCTACACTGGCGCAATCTCACACAAAAGTGGCCGCTCTTGTGCAAAAACTTGCTGCCTCTCTACACGGGCCGCGTGTTCTTGCGCAAGTAAACTGACGTTCTAATGGATAAAATCAGGGCTTCTTGCGCGAGAACTCTGATGCTCCTGCGTAGGAAGAATCCCTTTTGTGCAAGAGCTCTTCCAGAAGAGGCCAGTGTAGACAGGCAACATGAATTTCTTGTGCAAGAAAGCCCTATGGTTAAAATGGCCATCGGAGCTTTCTTGCGCAAGAGAGCGTCTACACTGGCACGGATGCTCTTGCGCAAAAGCACATACCAGTGTAGATGCTCTCTTTTGGAAGAGTTTTTGCGTGAGAACGTGCCAGCGTAGACGTAGCCAATATTAGGTTTAGTCTTCTCCTTGTGCTTCTACCAGACAGTGCGACTGAGCTCTGTGCTTTGCGGAAAGCTCTGTCTCCCAGTGAGAAATGCTCCTTACCGCACAGACACCACAAGTGGCCCCGGACAGGCATGGCAAGGGAGAGAGAGATGCACATCAGATCTGCGGAGCCCTGGGAAAGCTGGAATCTCAAGCAGTTAAAATGCCTCTGAATGCACTGAAGCAAAATGCAGGACAATGTAGCACTTTAAAGACTAACAAGATGGTTTATTAGATGATGAGCTTTCGTGGGCCAGATCCACTTCCTCAGATCAAATAGTGGAAGAAAATAGTCACAACCATATATACCAAAGGATACAATTAAAAAAAACGAACACATATGAAAAGGACAAATCACATTTCAGAACAGGAGAGGGATGCGGGGG